GAGCCATCGCCAGCAGAGAGATGTCACTGCAGCAAAACACTATTGTACCAACGCTGTTCTAATAATATATACACAATGGGTCATGCTCATATTATTTGTTATATTTTTATTATTCATTATTTTCATTGACTCGCATAAATAATTTAGTTCGAAGAACATTTTATGCAGTTGTACTTCGCAGCACTTCACTTGCAATTTGCAATTTCTAGTATAATGACTTATAGCGACGTATGCCAAAAACAAACCGAACAGGTCATCATCATTTGTATCCAAGCATGTAACTATTATTATTATTTTTTATTATTACATGTTCATGTGAAATCATGTAAATATAGTATATGAATTCATGATAAGCAACTCACCAATATTCAAGATTCTTCCAAGAAAAGGATTTTTCTCATGTGGTTGTTGTAGTATCAATCTTACACACACTTTCAATCAAGCTTTTGAGGGCGTGTTCCAGACCGAGTGTTTTAACCATCAAAAGAAACTTTTCAGGAACACTCTTTAACAAGCCTTCATCATCCAAATCATGCACTGCAAAATTAATTTTTTTAAATGTTTTAGAAAAAATATAAATATTTTAATGAAGTGCATCCACTTTTATCCTTCTATAATTGTTGCAAAATATTGTAATAAACATCCTGTATTATCCATATTTATGATTGGCTGTTCACTATAATTTACTGTGCATGTGGGAAAAATATGTGAAAATGGAATACCAGTTTATTAGCTCTGATGAGGAGCTAGAGGAATACCCGGCTGATTAATAATTAGACCTTTTGAGTGCTGATTGCTTAATAGATTTTTTTTGCATGGGCAGCCGCTTTCCAATTATTATTTTTATTATTATTCCCTCCGATGAGGAGCTCTAGAAACACTCAGCTGAACCTATGTTCTTATTGTTTTTGTTGCTGTTGCACATAAACTAGAGGTGATTTTCAACAAACGTTCATCGCCCTTTTTTTGGAACCTTGGGTGCCCCATTAACCTACAGAACAAAATAGGGGTTTCAGAAAGGACTGCAGATTACTGCCAATACCATAAATAGGACACGTCGCATGGATTGCACAGTCGGTTAATGATGTGTTCTAAAGAACCAAAGGTCGTGAGTTTGAATTGCCGTCTTGGTATTCATTGTTTTCCCCCAATTTTAAGACATTTTATTTTTTCAATTTTAAGACATTTTAATTTTGTACAAATGAACATTCTAATTATTTAAAAATGTCTATCTTATTAGCTCTTCCAATTTTGTTGTCAACCAGCTCTCAAATATCTTAGAATGTTCATTTATAGGACAAAAAAATTAATACAACGTTAAACGCTCAATTGAGGAACCGGTAACACTTCAGTTTAACGCGCGGACCAGTGAGCGGTCATTCCTGTTTGTATGAGCGGCCGTTAGGGCCAATTATTTTTATTATTAAAATCACCTGATAAAGATGCTTTGGGAACTAGGTCAATTATCTGGTGGACCTCATCATCCTCATCTATGTGGATGACCCAACTTAGCAGGAACACAATTCTGCAAGACAAAATGTGAATTGAATATGATGCCCTCGATTTCTTGCAGCAATAATAGAGGTCGTGGTAGTAGTAGGGGTACTAATGGATTTGTTAGCGACACTAGTAGCAGGAACAAACAAATGATTCATCTGGAAGACTTCAACTGCAGAATACAAAATCTTTACTTATTTTACCAAAACCAAAGGCAAGCATAATTATAATTTTTACAATTTGAAAGTTTTACAACCTCACCTCGTCTGACCTGGCCGGCTGAACTCAAGTAGTGGTCCTGTGCTCCCAGCAGGCAGGCACACTTCCTTGTGGTAAGCCTCCTAGAATAATACAGGAAACATTTCAGGAATAATGATCGCTAAGCCATACTTAAATGTCATTACTACACGCATGGGGACAGAAGAAAATCCAAGACATGTTGCCCACTTGGCACGAAACATTTGGTTTCTCAATAAAAACAAATCAGATTTTGTTATATTTTCTGGAACATTTCCTCAAATAGAAAATTCAAAATAAATCTAAAAATTTGGACAGATATATATATATTCTGGGTTAGCAATTAAACTGGAAAATTTAACATTAAAACTAAATATTTTAATTGTAATAAATTTAACATTAAAATTAAACAATAAAATTGCTTACACTGTATAATTATAAAGTTTTGTCCCCACTATCAAATTTTATTTGACAAAAACATGTGACATGCCTAAATATGGTCATGATGACATCACATCATGACCATATATAGGCACATCATGGCTATATATGGGCATACAACAGTTCTTTGTCAAATAACATTTGATAGTCTGGACAGGACTTGAATATATATAGATGCATAATTCATATTAAAGTTTTGATTACAGTATTGCAGACATATACATTGTCTGTATGTATAGTAATTGATTGAAGGATGTTTATAGTTTATGGTATCAATTATGTGACTAAAGTAGTATTAACTTAATTTGAACCTTTTAATAAAGAGGGTTTAAATGTTTCAATTGGCTTTTTAACTAAATAGTACTTATTATATACTGATGCAAACACATTCACTTGAGAAGAATTAAAAATATTATTCAATAAGAGTTTACAATAAATAAAAAAAATGAAAAAAGAAAAAGAATGCTACTTATATTTTTACATAATGTTCAATTTCAATTCAATATAAAGTTCATTTCCACATCATCAATAAAAAAATAGACGGAGAAATACATAAGAAAAAAAAATTGATAAGAATGTTTTGAACATTCACAATATCTAATCAAAACAAATCAAATTTATTCAATAACTCTAAGAAGTATGTATTAAATTCAGTACCACATATATGACCATGGTGATGTCATACAGTATTACACCCAAATATGGGAACAGCACATCCCATTTTTTGACAGATAAAATGTAATTATTGTAGGCAGAGCAGTTAGAAACAGTAAAAATTAAATAAAGTTGATATCAAATATACAATGATCAACTTTCTGTAAATCAGCAAGGTATGAATTAATTAAATATAAAATACTATTACTAAAATTTTAAGTATTAAAAGGTAAAGGGGAAAAAAGGTATATTATTAACTACAGTAGGAGCTTCATGAGGAAGATATATGGATGTTTAATAAAGTTTTAAAAGAAATGTACATCCCCTCACGATTTCAATATAAGGCCCAGTCATTCCACAAGGAATTCACACAATTCCCTAAAACCTTCCAATTACTTAAGTACAGACCCTCATTATTTTGAAAGCAGCCTAATGATTAGTCTAATTTGCAGAGCACTGGTATTATATTCACATTTTCAGACAGGTTCTTGAAGATTTGAAAGTGCAGTCCCATAATTCAAAATAAACGACGAGACATGATCATATGTCAGACATTCATTAATATATGATTCGTAACTGGAGTGAGTAGCAGATATGGGTTCGTAACATGACACACCTTTGACCAGGCGCCATTAAAAAAAGTTAAAATATTCACATAGGCGTAGCTCTGTCCATATCCATGGGTACAAATCACTTATCCCCACTGCTTTTATTACCCATAAATATAGTATAAGACCTTGACCATCCAGTTAACTCCCAAAACTCAATAAACAATGAAGTATTTAATAACAAACCATGTATATTTTATGGGTAGAGTCTGTGCTATATGGACCAATCATGCCCCTTCTCCATGCAATAACAAATATATAAATTCCATGTATAATGGTAAAATATTTTTAAGCCAGTTAGCGCAGTAATTGTAAACCATAATCTCCAACCTTATTGCTACCACACTTTATATTTTTGTGCTGCTTCACACCAATGCAAACCAGGTGGTATTTTAAAAGTAATAATGATAATTATTATTAATATTACCATATATGTCATCACTGGAAAAAATATAATCATGAAGTGCCTTGTATGTATTCAGGAGGTACAAAAAGTTTTAGATACTTTAGCTATATTATAATCTTTTATCTAAATAATTATTTTAAGCTTTGTTTTGCTGCTGCTAGGTGGGAGAGAGGGTGGGCAGTTCATTTGCCACCCCTGATCCACCACTGCAATGTCACACCATCTTACCACGTACCCATTAACACTCCTGGGTGGAGGCAGAGACAAGCGTAGGTAATGTGCCTTGCCCAAAGTTGCAATCAAAAATGCATATTGAGAGGTACAAAGCACCCACCCTAAGACTGAAAACTGGAAATACAAATGATGTAGCAACCTCTCCCACAAAATTATGATATTATTCATTCTCTTGTTTACTGTCCCTGTGGATTGAAGTCATTTACAACCGCAGCGAAAATTTAACCTTGGAACAGAAAAAGAACTTTTAATGCCTCAAAACGACTTAAAGTTCAAACAATATTTCTTTGAAATGAGTATCAATACAGGTACTTCAAGCAAAATATCATTTTTTTTTTCACTTGTAGATGCTTTGTGAAATTGCTGTCAGAAAAATATTAGGCCTATAGAGAAATATGATTTACACACTTTTGTTCAGATTCATTGCAGTGCATTGGTTTCGTAATTTAGGACCAATCTCCACGGAGGATATTATTAAACTTATCGATCCCCAGTGAATATGTGTCTGCTGGCTGACTGCACGTGAGTGAATGCAGGGTGTAAAATTAATGTTTCCTGAAACACGCAATATAGACAGCAGTCAACAAAAGTTTTTCAAAAAATATTGACCATTTTATTAGCAATTAATGTTTTGTATTGAGCTGTGAAGTATTTTAAAGGCGATTAGCATATTATACATACAGTAATGTTAACATACAGCAAGTTTATTTTCCCATACATGTTTTTGACTAAAATGCTAATAAGCAGAATTAATATTACAATAAGTATAAGTATGTTTCTGTGGTTCTGTGGATTTTTTTTCGATTATATTAATTTTTAAGCCGGCGGACAACAAATCTCTGTTTGTACATAGACAAATAAGGTATCTGAGTATCTGAATAATTCAATTCAATTCCATTAATTACATACAGCGTACCACATATTATAATGCTTTCAACATACACAATCAAGACTCAGTAACAAGGAGGCGTTTCTTGGAGACTAGTTGTCTAGCAAATGGGAAGCTTGGGACTTTTAATACATTAGAAAAAAAAAAATTTTCAAACAAACATCTCAACTTTCAGCCATACATTATACATATTTTATATACTTTGCACTTTATAAAGTTTAAATAATTATTATGCAGTCTAGGAGGCTGGGTACTTTTTATCTACAATGCTGGGGTCTCAGTCTGGTTGGCTTGGAGGCTGAGAACTATCAATCTACTGTATGAAGCTGGGGCCTGGTAGTCTAGGAGTATGCAACTATTAATCTAAGAATCCCCCAGGAAGCTGTGGACTAGTAAACCAGAAACACAAATTGTTCCAGCTATTTGGAAGGAGAGGTCTAAAGAGGGGAATGGTAATTGTAAAGAATTGGGATTGGTAATGGCGAAGAGGTAAGGAAAGGTAGCCTAGGAGAATAATATGGGGAATATATGTAGGCACTGGATGTGGTAGTATAAATGAGGTGTATAGGGGATATATAACCCTTAACTGGAGAGGCTAATTGATAAAGTGAGGCGGCTCTAGTTGTCAAAATATGGTATGGAGATTTTAAGCTAAAAGCTTAAGCTTTTTTATGCTAAAGCATGGAGAACCACAAATCCAATAAATTTCTCTTTGGTCAAAGTAAAGTGTGTGGCTTATAACCTTACAATGTCATCCTCTCACCTGGTCAGGCCTTTCTCACCTTCAACTTACCCTGAACAGATTACTACAACATGTAATCAAGTAATTTTGCAATATATCTGAGATAGGTATTCCAACTGACAGTATGTAGCCCATGGCCTAGGCCCCATGCCCACATAACAACCCATAAGTCACCTGTACTGTCAATTATTTTAAGTGTTACTAACAACTTAATGGTATCAGCAATGTCACCCTAAGGATTTATGATGCTCATTAAGATATCATCACAATGGAAGAGAGGTACCAATGAACTTTAAAAGCGGCTACATCCCAACTTACAAAGTGCATGAGGGGGAACATATCAGAGAAGGAGGAGAGGGAAAAGTAGAGGGTGGGAAGGGGACAACAGATGTTTGGCAAACTATTCACCTCCTGGGGAAAGAATTTTCAGAATGATAAACAAATGCATTTAACAAAACATTGTACAATTTACGTTCCTGGGTGAAGAGAGGCAAACAAGGGTAAAGTACGTTGCCCAATGACACATGTGAATGACGAGAATTAGATTCATCCTAATATTATGCCGACAGTCCCATGGTGAAGAAGGCAATAAAATATAACAGGAAAGTAGCAACCCTGGTATATATACAGTGTAACTCTATCTACTTTACTATCTTTTTCCTATACATATTCTACTATATTTGGTTGATGTGAATGATGGAGAGTTAGATTCAAACCCAATAATATTGGCCTAAATTCAAGTTCATAACAATTCTACTAGATCTGCTAAAAGTAAAACTGATGTAATTGTGGAGTGGGTTATTGTTATTAGTGATTATATATTCTATATTTGATTTAACATAGCAGCTTCCATAATTTCTTTCAAGGTTTTACGTTTAATTCTTATTATCGTACAACCTTCCTTATCTACTTTATTTAAGTTCTTTTTGCTTGAATGCCACACAAATCCACAGAAAGAAATCACTGATTGTAGATAGAAAAAGAAGTAAAAATAACTATCAATAATGTAGCAACCCTTATACACAGTGTTACTCTATCTCTACTTTATCTACTGTACATCCTCTACAGTACTCCATCATTTCCTATGTGGTTGACAACCCTTTATAAAACAATGTAAATACCACGAATAA